AGGAAACTTGGTGTACTAAACAGAACAAAGCAGTCCGCCACCCCGGGGAAAACTTTACTGTTACAAGTTCGACCTCAGTTGGATTACTACTCATGTCCTTATTCTAACTTATTCGTTTTGACTCCTTTCAAATACTAGCGGTTATTAACCATTATGTCTCAGGAGTGCTGCAAAGAATTATTTGACACTATGGTATGAACTCTCTACATTTTTTTCCGAAGGTTAACGGTAAGGGGGTATTTTTCAAGATCGCACTAAAAAGGAATTTCAAAGGTTGGGAACGCTCAAGTCATTCCTCTGCTGTTGCATCCATAAAGTAAGATGACCACTTAACATAAGGTGGTCACTGGTCAGTGCATCTGTTTTCCAGCAACGAGAAAAAAATAACTTTAAGATTATACACAATTACTTTTGTTACGTCTCACTACATAACACTGAAATTATAATAATTTTGTCAAAAACAAAAAATCGTGGCTTAGTTCATACTGAAGACATATTTTTTATAAAAACCTACAGAAGAGATCATACTTCTTGTGATCGGAGATGTCATCTTATATATAAAAAATGTATTTTCCGATCGATTGAACCAATATTCTAAATGCATTCTTCTGTCAATAACTCAGCTTTACAATCTAAGCCCCTGCGAAATACTTTCTCTGCATTATATAGCTAGAGATAAGAAGAGAATGGAATACGTCACAAAATATCGAGGATAGCTACTCAAGGAAAATCAAATACCAAGTGGCAACCTCTTATGTTACGTTATTCATTAAATATTTATAAATAATAACTTATAACATTGTATCAACACTTCTATTATCTGGCTTTATTTAGGAAATTAACTTTATACGAAGTGACTAAAACCTAGAGGTCCACTACCACGCAAATCCTATTAACAATTTGTAAAACCTAACTAATATTTACAAAAGTGTTACAGAAGTAACTTTTAACTACTTTCGATCGATTCGGCTATCAATTTTAAAGTCTTATCAATGTAAATATGTATGACTTCTTAATACAATTAGTCTCGCGAGCACTCTTGTTTACACTTATAATGATAGGAAATTCATTTACTAAATAACTAAAGGATTGTTCTATTTTGTTTGATTGGACTGACTGTCATTTGATGAACAACAGTGGGAAGTACAATGATATCTAAAGCCTTGGCGAATATTCATTTAAATGAAACTTATATTTTTCGGTTTATAATACGCGTAGTTTTTAGAAACTACTTATTCCTGAAGTTTCATTTACTTTTCAATAAACCTGATCACGGGCAGACGAGATGTGAATATCTGACAGTTATCAAATCTTGTTATTTATCATCTACTGCCAACGATTTCTTAATTTTGGCGTCTCAAACACGTCCTTTTTACAATAAAAAGTGTGTCAAGCACGTCATAGAGCCGTAGATGTTAAGCGCAATTTATCAGTAACATCTTGTTCAATCGTACCTTTAAGACACCCAAATTATAAATACATATAAAAAATATAAGTACAGATACTTTGTTCGATTAATTATTATCTCCATTGGAAAAATATTTTTCTATCACTTTTTATTTTCAGGAATAAATATAATATACATAAGATTAAGAAAATTTTCTCAACGTATTTCAAATTAAAATGTGATTCAATTTCAATAAAGTTGTTCAAAATCGTTGAAGCTTTTAATAAAATTAAACGAATGAATGATATTTTAAGTTGAAATTATGTAGCCTTGCACAGACTTTATTAAAATTAATTAATTAATTATTAAATGAGCATATTTTATATTAAACATTTTTTCATCATTAAGACTAATTAAAAACATTATTGAAAATGATCACGCTTATTATAAAATTTATCAATAAATATTTCATTGAAATAAGTAATTTGATCCATACGGATATATGATATTTGTGAGTTGGAAACCATGAAAGCAATTTCCTTAAATTAACTTTGAATCTATGTCTTGTTGCGTATCAAGATATGCAAATCAATCGAGTCTAGTTTCAAATTATGAATAACATTATACGATACTAGTATTAGAAGTACTAGGAAATGTTGAGAAACATCACAGTTACACAATTTAAATTAATTTATACAATTTTATCATTTTAAGAAACTTTAAAGTACATTTACATCCATTTATACTATTAAGACAATCTTTTAAATTAGTGGGTACATCACAAATTTGTTTTTCATTATTATAAGCGGTACAACTTTCGAAAAGATGAATCACTGTTAAGTTTAAGCCACATTTACATTTAGTTCTATTATTTTTTGTAATTAAATGAATATGAGTCATATTTGTATGACCAATACGTAATCTTGTGATAACAACTTGGTCTTTTCTACAAGTGAATGAAGCAGGGGATTTATCAAAGGTACTATTTCGGATACCGAAGAGTTTCGATGTGTTATCTGTTTTCCAGCTTATATTCCAGCTTTGTTTTATTTTGAACTTGAAAAATTTTCGTAAATCTGTTGGATTTGCTTTAGATCCATCGAATTCGTTATCAGATATAGCTATATCCTTGTCTGCTTTTTCATTGCCAGTTATACCGTGATGACTGGGGATCCATATTATTTCAAATTTTATATTATTTTGACACATTTCATACATTTTATGTTTAATTTCTATAAAAAGAGGTTCTATATTTTTAGAATTTTGAAAGGCTGTAACACATGACTTTGAATCAGAAAAAAATATATAATATTTATCTAAATTAGCTTCGTTATATATTATTTCTAAAGCTTTTAATATTGCTTCACAACTTAAAATTGTATGGAAATCTAAAAGTCTGTAACGGTAGTAGCTGTTAGCGTAAACAACTGCACATCCCGATCTTCCATTCATTACAGAACCATCAGTAAACAAAAATTCACAATTTTGATGCTTGTATTTTAACTCTTGGAATATTCTTTTAAAAACCATCGGTGGTGTACTATATTTAGGATATTTGGCCAATTCAAGATTAAGAGGTAGCTTTAAAAATTCCCAAGGACCGTAACACTGTATTTTTTTGAAAAAACAGGTGGAATATTGAGATTTAGTACCTTTAAATATTTAGATGCTCTGATTCTTAAAGGTTGTGGTAAATGAGGTTGAAGTAGGTATCGTGCATCCGTAAACGATTTTTTTGTATAGTAGTCGAATGTTGGGATATTGGGCCGAGATAGTATATTTATAACGTAAGTGAGTTCCTTTCTTGTTCTTGTTGAAGTTCCTTTCTTCTGAATTGCAATGGCATTTCTCCAGCTTCAGCTAAAATACTCTTAATGGGACTAGTTTTAAATGCACCAATACTAAGACGGAGAGAAGTATTGTGAACACTTTACATCACAACCATAATTAATTTAACAGAGACCGTTTTAATGACTACTCCCTTATCCTCAGTGACCCAACCTCTTGTTATATATTTATGGATCAAAAACTCTGTCCCCAGTTGTTATATAATTACATTCCTTGTGTTATAATACTCGTAAACAGTTGGTGGTTTGTAAAACATAACATACAAACATAACATACAAATTTTGTATTGCATCTGATCTCTTCGTACGATGCTTGTCTTATTTAATTTAAATTCGTTGCTGCACTGAAGCAAGTTGGTAAGATAATCACAACATTCGTGTACAACAATCAATCTGACGGTTTACCGCGAACATGTATGAATACTCCGCGTTTTATTTATTTAACCTGAATCTAAATCTTTTACACATAATTTACTTTTTCCGTATCAGAAATATTTACAGTTGTATGTATTACATATCTGATATTAATACTTTTACGCATTGATCCAATTTTATTTATTTAATATTTTTTCGCTTAGATTTATATTTATCATCGTTTTATATAGAGGAAGTCTTATTATTTTCTTAAGCCATTCTGTTGTTGGTTTATAAACAAATATCAATAAAACATTTACTTGTGACAAATACCAAAAGTGGAACAGTGGTGAGTGTGGAGGGAAAAAAGAAATAAACCATAAATACTATGACGTAAAAATTTCATTTTACTTTAAAAATAACAAATGGAAAAACTTCAAAAACGCAATTCATTTCATTCGAATAACTGGAAATTAAATGAATTGCAAAAAGTAATTAGTTTATATATCACCATAGTTTTTGCGGACTTGCAGATGCAATTTAAATAAACATTTTATGGTATATTTTCTGACATTCGGAGTATAGTCTAATATCATGAGTGAATATTTAATGATGTAATACTGCTGTGTAATTTAAACACCTTATTATTTTGTGAATAATTTAATTTGACAAAAACAACTTAAAGTTTCGTTTAAGACTCAGATAAAACATTGAATATGACACATTAGCGAAAAGGAAACTTAACATCAAAGAACGGGAATATTCAAGACTATTATAAATTTTCCTCCTCGTAGTAATAGAATTTTTTTAAACCTTACAATTTGCCAGATCCATTAAATTTTTATTATTTAAACTGTTGATTTTATAGAAAAAAGTCGTGATGATCCATAAAACATAGAGTTATAATAACACGCATAGGTTTATCTGGATTTTTAAATAAAAAATAAAATCTTTGCTATTGAGAACAGGAAAATCTATTTGTTAAGAAATTTAACTGCAATATTTACGAATTATTTATGTATAAAACACGCGTTAGTTAAGGGGCCCCTTAAACCTACACTTGGGTCGCAAGTCCCAGGCACTGTTGAAGCTCCTCCCCCTGCAACGCGATGGACCCGGCACCCGCACGGTGAATCCATGGAATGCTGAGAAGTTTCGTCTTATTTAAAACGACTGCCCGGAGAGTCGGGCTGACGCTGGAAAGACAGCTGACTGCCGGAAAGACGGGTGACTGCCGGAAAGACGGATGACTGCTGGAAAGACAGCCGAGGGCGACGGCCTAGCAAGCCCAACCCGGTATACATAAAGCTAAAAATCCGAAGAAGAAAAATACCCCTGGGACAGTCCGAGAGAGGGGGCGGAAGAACTGTCCACCGGTCGATTTTAACGGCGAAAACGGCGCGAATACGGACTTGAAATGCTCTACGTGCGGGAAAAATTACAAGAGACGAGCCTGGTACATTAAACATCTAAAAACACATAATGGGGTTGAAGCACGACAATCGTCGGTAAGATCTACAACATTCACTTCGGATAGAGTTGACCCTCATGTATCCCATGGTGAACCATTAACTGGAAACCACCAGGAGTCCATTAACATCAGGACACGTCTTAGCATTCCTAATCTAAAACAATCGACTTGGAAAGTTCATGACGACAACTTAGCGGTCCTGTTAGAGCATCCGGGCTCGAAGCAGGAATTGAACTCGCAGGTAGAAACTTTCCAAAATACCGTTTATGACTACTTTAGCGAGCAATATCCACCACGTAATATTTATGCTCGCAAAAATAAAGACAATTCGTTCAAATTAAAAATGCGGAAGAAAAAACGGGAATTAATAAAAAATCTACGTATAGCCAAAGCTCTAGGCGACAATCACCTTAGTCATCAACTAGCTAGGGCGCTAAGGTCAATCCTTAAATTAATCCAAGGAATATCGGCGCAAACTGCAGAATATCGCGATAATTTTGACCGGGCAAAACAAGAAGTAGATTTCGATAAAAAACCCTTTTGAGTATTCGAAAACCATTTTTAAGAAAGAACGCGGACAGCTTCTCTTGACCAACGATCAAATTTACGACCATTTTAAGAGCACATACGAAGTGCCTAAAAGTTTAAGACGGTATAGGGATCCAAACGATCAAAAACCTGAATTTCCTCGAATCGAATTCCACGGCATTCCACCAACGCTAGAGGAACTAAGTAGTCAGATCAAGAGGAAGTCGTCTAAATCTGCACCGGGACCCGATGGTATCCCATATATAGTCTTTAAAAAATGTGCATCGGTTCGTAAACACCTCCTAAATATATACGGTAAAATCTGGTCAGGGAAGCAAATCCCGGAGTGCTTCGGGAAAGCAATTTTTGTCCTCATTCCCAAAAAAGATCGAGTTACTGATCCGAAAGATACTAGACCGATAGCTTTAACAAATACTATATCGAAAATCTTTTTCTCGGTTCTACAAACGAGAATGACGCGATTCATGCTCAGCAACAACTACTTTAGGCCAAATCACCAGAAAGGGTTTTTACCCGGGGTTTCTGGATGCTTAGAACACAACACCTTGCTGTCGGAGAGTTTAAAAGATGCTAGAAAAAGCGAGCGGCAAATCACGGTTTGTTGGATAGACTTGGAGAACGCGTTCGGGTCGATACAACACGAATTGATGCTATTCGCGCTTAGATGGTACAACTTTCCACCCCTAGTTAGAGATATGATCGCGTCGTATTACTCAAAATTAAGGTTTTCTATAATAACTAAAGAAGGCCCTTCAAAAAGTTTGAGTTATAATGTAGGACTGTTTCAAGGTTGTTGTCTATCTCCAATTGCGTTTAATATCGTAATTAACATCTTAGTAGACAAATTAATCTGTAACGAGAAAAAATGGGGTTATCGGTTTAAGTTTAATAATAAATACACGGAATCCATTTTAGCCTTCGCTGACGATCTCGCAATACTGACACGTAACCCCAAACACTGTCAGGTACTATTGGATGAAGTGGATAAATTCTGTGAGTGGACGGATGGATTGAGGACAAAACCCAGTAAATGTCACTGTCTGTGTCTTGGTAGGCGGAATACAAGATACACCTCATACGATCCGGGACTATCGTTAGGCGGTCAATGCATTTCTACGGTTACGGAAAATGCACCATTTAAATTTCTCGGTCGTAAGATAGATAATATAGGCCGTACTCCATCTTTAGAAGGAATAGTAGATAGCTTTTTGAACGATCTTAACAAGGTAGATAGCCAACTGATAAGTAACGTCAAAAAAGCGTGGATCTATGAGAATTACTTAACTTCACGTTTGAATTGGCCTTTCCTCGTCTATGATTTTAATAAAACCCTTTTGTCAAAGTTAGATGCAGGCGTCATAAAGATGTTGAAGTTGTGGCTCGGGCTCGCTCTAACGGCTGATTCATCGGCGTTATTTAGGGGAAGTAATAGTTTTGGGATGAGTCTAAAAAGGCCATCGGAGCTCTATAAACACCTAAGAGTTTCCAAGAGATATATCCTGGGGAAATCCCATGATGACATAGTGACATCGCTCCCAAAAGATGAAGATGCCCCCGAGCTAGAGTCACGACTTCAATTCCATAAGCAATTTATGATAGGAGCGCAAAGTAACAGAGCGGGGTTAGGATCAAATAGGAAAGTCCAAGATGCGGATATATTGAAGTCTTTTATTCGGCAAGACGAGAATGATAAATATAAGATCCATGCAATGAATTTAGAAATGCAGAACGAGTGGTTAGACATAGGAGATTTTTGCATCCCGTTAGCATTAAAATGGCGCACTTTAATTTATGATTGGTCGCCAGCATTGCTAAAATTCTATCTCAATGCGTTCCAGATGACTCTCCCAGATCAGAGTAATTTAGTAAGATGGGGTAAAAGTACCGAAAAAACTTGCTATATCTGTGGAAAGGCAGTTGGAACTGCTAAGCATCTGCTGGTGGGATGTAAGGTACTCCTTGACAGCGGTCAATACTCGCGTCGTCACGATAGGGTTCTAGAAGTCATACGTGAAGCGGTTAGTCTTTCGGTAGCCAGAGCGCAAAAGGGAATAACCACAAACGAACGATCAGTAGGTTTTGTGAAAGAAGGCACTAGGGCTACAAAATCAAACGTCAAGCCTTACTCCATCCTTAAAGCGGCGTCGGATTGGACTATAATGATGGACACGTATGAAAAACAATATAAAATCCCCGAGGATATTTGTGCGTCGGCCTCCAGACCGGATATATTTTTGTTTTCGCGAATTTTAAAGCGCGTAGTGATGATAGAGCTTACGGTCCCTTGGGAAACCAACATCCCCAAAGACCATACCATCAAGGTCAACAAATATTACGAGCTCACAAACGAACTCACTCGAAATAGGTTCGTAGTAGATTTGTACGCGGTAGAGGTGGGAGCGAGAGGTATAACAGCGAAATCTCTCTATAACCTACTAAAGGACTTGGGCTTGTCCAGAACTCACATTAATGCATTCTTGGAACGTACATCGAAGGCAGCCCTAGTAGGTTCTTTTCAAATTTGGTTAGGTAGGGAGAGGAGCTTGGACAGTGGAGGTGAGCGTATAACGCGCGTTAGTTAAGGGGCCCCTTAAACCTACACTTGGGTCGCAAGTCCCAGGCACTGTAGAAGCTCCTCCCCCTGCAACGCGATGGACCCGGCACCCGCACGGTGAATCCATGGAATGCTGAGAAGTTTCGTCGTAACAGATTTTTAAGTCTTTTTATTATTCTGGTTTGCATGTATCATTGGCAAGATATACAATGTTTGTTTGAGCCAACAATAATTATTTACTGATAAAAAAAATACATTTGTAAACTTCTGGTCCGATTTAATCAAGAATAAAAGAAAATGTCGAAGAATGCTTTCTACGTGCAAGTGAATGGAGTCCGAATGGATTACCGATCGCCTCTGTTGTTTCTACATATTATTATGTACGCACTTACAAAGCCAACCTTTTATGGAATTGTTATTGTTATGGAATAAAATAAAGGTTTTCAAAAAGAGTTGCAAAAAACATAATTAAAAATATCCAAGAATACTTTAATATGCAAGAATAAATTTCAATAGTTCTGTTTCATGTCTTAATATAATCTGCACACAGACTACTATCATCCATCATTTTGAGAAGTTACAGTCACGTATTATTTAAATATATTACCCAATGTTCATACCTTTAGGTATACACCATAGACTCTAGAGAAATGAAAAAAAATGGTTTATCTGAGCCTTAAACTATTATTTAAAATATAGATTTGTCAACTTTGTGACTGAAAATAATAATGAAATACACGTACATATACTAAAGTTTTATATTTTTTGTTAAAAATATGTCGAGGGATATTAAGAAAAAATCAAAAGGCACATGCATTTTTAAACGATTAAAAATTTAATATTTAAGGAGAAAAGAATAGTTTTTGGAATATAAACCGTGTTTGTTTGTCTTCTTGTAATAAAGATTATTATCTAAAACATCATAAGCAATCATAGCCAAAGTACTAAACGTTATAGTACCTACAATAATGGTATTAAGTACCAAATGCTGATACTTTAATTACATATAAAAACGTTTTAAGGAGTTCAAACTTATGAAATTAAATTATTTATAACCAAATGTGAACACTTATAATGGAAACTAACAAACTTGTAATGCAATAAGTCTACTACAAAAACCAAAAAGTATTCCTTAAATAAAATGTTATACCTTTAGGTATTTACATAATTTTCAATTTCCTATCATCAGAGACCTGTGTCGCTCCTAATCTCGGTAGGTCAATATTTGTAATACTCAAGTGGAGAGTGTTTAATGATATTGGAGACTTGAAGTGAAAATGTATTTTAAGGCTTATATTAATCTAATATAACTAATAAGACATTTTGTTTATATAGTTTTCAATTAAATATTACATATTATTTATGTATTAAAGAAATGTTTATACATAACACGTGTATCGTTTAAAAATTCAACAATAGCAGTCTCTCACAACAGTCCGACTGATGCTCATCGTAATTTTGTAGAAAATTATAAAACATTTTCCGAAGTAAGTCAGTACCTTATTTCTGTACAGCTTTTTGTCTCTACAAAGAACAGATTTAATCCAATAAAATGTAGATAGCTCTTGGACATGACCTCAGATTTTGACTGGGTTTTCACCCACCTTTCCTGAATTGTAGGTGGTGGGTAAACAAGCAAACGGCCTACCTTATAAAAATAGTAAACGTCGCCTATGGACATCCGCAACATAGTTTTGCATTTGTGTTGCCAACCTGTTATTGAGGAAGAGAGATAGGAAATGGTGAAAAACGGGAAAGAATATGTTTTTATTATATGAAGCGTATTCAATTGTCATACCATTGATTTACAACAAATACACTAAATCAAGTTTTATTATCTGTAAACATGCACATTGATGGCGACTTTTCTCACAAAATACAACATTGTCAACTTATCACCCCTTGTACAAAAATGTGTTATTTTTATTAACATACTGACTACATTTTGTTGAAACACAATTTTAATAATTTTATACTTGATGCGACCTTAAAACCTGACGACGTACACAATGCCTAAATTTGAGAGGTTAAGCTCATTTTGAATAGTTTAAAACACAGAACTGAAGTGCTTTAAGTATGTATGTATCTACTAAACTAGTCTGAAGGTTACAAAGTTAATAACAATTTATAAATTTACTTTTTTGTTTTTAATTTAAATTTTAATTTGTGTATTAAAATATTTTATACATTATAATATCTAACCCGCAGTTCACTTTGCCAGAGATAATGTTTCCAATATTATTTTCCCAAAATAAAATCAAAAAAGTTCAGGTGTCTATATTTTAAAAAGTCGTTTTATTTCATTTTAACAATTAATAAATTACTTCGCTTAATTTATTTTCCCTATGATTTCCTTAATATTTTATTAAACAGTTCTTATCCAAAATTAAAAGATAATTTAATTAAGAGATACTTTTACTTTTTATTGACTGTTCAGGTAAGTTAATTGTGACCAATTGTTAACGGATTTTATCTCGTTTTCATTTAAATTTATGTGCTCGCGACATCCTCCACTTTGAAAAGATGTTTTTAATATAGGACGTTCAATAAAAAATAATGCAAAGTTTATATATTTATATATTTTTTTCCATTCCATTAGTTTTCTATCCGTGTCAATTTCAGTAAAGATTTATCTGATTTGATTTTATTCACAATATTATAATCGATCACTTCAATCTGGTTTATTTGTATATATAATTAACTAGCTTTTGCCGCGACTTCGTCTGCGTGGAATAGTGACAGATTCTTCCCACATAGTTCCCGGCAGATTCTTCCCACATAGTTCCCGTAGAATTTTCAGGATAAAACCTATGTTTTTTTATTCACAATGAAGTACTCTTAACTAAAAACATATTTATTTGTTTATTTGAATAAAGATTAATATTATTATGTTGATACAACTTAAACAAATTATTTCGACCAAATTAGGTACCATAAAAACGGTTTTTGTGAGTTAATCTTAAAAGATAGACATATACTGTCGTGGACTGTTTTTTAGATCATTAAAAGAGCTATTATTCTTTCATACATATTTTTGTGTATCTTGAACCGTTTTCACGGCGCACGCAACGGAAGGCTTCAAAGATGAAATAATTTCTCCCGTTTTTTACACATTTACCACTATATCTTTGCTCCTATTGGTCATAGCGTGATGTTATATAGCCCACAGCCTTTCTCGATAAGTGGACTATCCAACACAAAAAGAATTATTAAATTCGAACCAGTAGTTTCGGAGATTAGCGCTTTCAAACAAACAAACAAACAAACAAACAAACAAACAAACAAACAAACTCTTCAGCTTTATAATATTAGTATAGATATTTATTTAAGAGTACCTACTCTACCACTCGCGGATCTAAGTTTTCATCACTCTGTACTTGTAAGTATCCTAACAATTTCGTCTTCTGAACAGTGTACAGTTCAAAGGTACAAATGAGCTCAAAATATAAACGATACGATGTGGAAAGTTAACGATGTAATCGATTCTTTTGTTGTATTATTTTACTTCGATAATTCGAGCTAATTAAAGATATATTAAAGTTTAATTCACAGTCGAGAGACTTTGCAATAAATCCCAGACGTATTCAAAATAGTCGAGGTTCCATTAAAAGTTGCGATTAGAGCAATTGATAAACAATAAACGCTTCAGTTTAAACACTAGTTAATAATTAAAATTAATCTGAATCACTTAACAATTAACAGGTTGGTTATTATATATATATCTAAAGTATTTAAAATTGTAAATTAAAGTCAGAATAATAAATGTGGGATATTTTTATTATAGGTAAGTTGTAAACGTTTTAGGTACTTAATGCAGCTATCTTAAAACTTATCTTCTATTCTGATCTCACTGACTGAACCTAACAGCAAAAGATTGAAATGTACTTATACAAAGTTTTATACCCAACTTAAAACTAATTGAAATCTATATACGTAAAGTAAATATAGAGAAACACAATTTATATATTTTAAACACAATTGATTAATCGAAGCACTAGAGAAGGGGATATTTTCTGAAGGTGAGAGAGGATATTTTCTGAGGAGACTGGCTTAAAAGAAAAGACGGATAACTGTCAATTCTTCGTATTTATACTATCAATGTATGTATATTAGAAGTAATCAATGAGTGTATATAGTCACGAGCATTAAAATACGCTAGTGTGAACTTAGTTTGAAACAATAGTCAACAAAAGTTTAGAAGTATTCAAGTGAATTATGAAAACTAAAAGTTTTGCCAGTGTTAAATAATTAACGTTATAAGTGTACATATGTATATTAAATAAACTGGTTTAAAAAAATATTCGACCAAATGTAAACTCGTATATACGTCAAACATACAACAAAGTATTTGAGATAATAAAAAATATATGCTTAATTTCTTACTTAACATTTGGTTATCTATAAAATGAAGAGTTTTATTTTATTTATTGTGCATTCACATTCTCTTGACCTATTTTCATGTCTGAGGTATTATAACAAATATTTACTTTAACTTTTCTTTGTTAAAAACTTTGAATGAATGACAAGTGACCATAAATAACATTGTGTCTATCAGTAGCAATGATTTATTAAATATTTTATTACGTAAAAAAACCTCAATGGATTAAATGAATTAAAATAAATGAATTACATTCAAAGATTTACTGGGCCATGTGAGGCGTTCAATCGAATAATTGGTGAACAAAAATGGCTTTCATCATTATGACAAGCAATTTAAGTATAATTAAATTAATTTTCACATAATCATAGATGGGATTGACTTACATTGTCATTATTTAGTAAAACGAAAGGTATGAACGTTCTTATTTTAAGATGGTTCAAGGTAAATTCAAGGAAAGTTGTATATACAAATTATGAAACGATGCAAAAGTTACTTTGTAATTAAATACATACATTAAGACGTATCAGAGATGCTTACGTATGTCAGTCATGTATGATGAACATTATGATTTAGAGAAATGTTGATGGAATGTGATTCCTGTTCATGAAATTGAATTTCGCTTTTAATTTATATTTAACTGATTAATT